ATTCCAGATGGTCCAGGCCAATCCAGAATTTTTCATTCGGACTCATTCACTCAGGCAGTGCACATGCAGAGTCTTCCATATGAATAGTTTAAGAGTCTATTAGTATTTCCCAAACGGTTATCCCATTCCGGCTGGGTGAAGCTAACATTTCGAACTCGCTCAGGCCTCATCAGCAACCCAAGCAGGATTTAATACTGAGTTTTTCTCTATTATACTTGCTATAATTAGCATCCTTTGCGACTATGCTATACTTACGATCCGGAAAAATTCGACTGAGTTTACAGATGAAACCTAAACGGGGTCGAAAATTCAGCCCCGACTTGATAATACCTTCTAGGAAGCAAAACCGTGCAACAGTCACTGGGGCCTATTCTTCCCATTGAGAGATCAACTCGAAAATCAATCCTAAAATTGTCGCAAGTGACTTAGACCGACAGTTGCTACGTGAAAAGTTAATTGTATCAATAAATTTTTGTGATGCCCTTTTTTCAGGTAAATATATATTAGTTTTGGCTCGACCAAGTTGCAAAAACAAGGTCGAACCAACACTATGAAGCTAAGGCAGACTGCTACCAAACAGGAGGCCACACCATCTGGCTCTTCATATCTACGATTTAATATAGCTTACTAACAAATTTAAAAACTGATCTAGTCTCATCCTAGCTTTTCCACTTCAATCTAGAGTTATTCAGATTAATCATGATTTATGGGGGATATTCGCAAAATATTTATATTTTTCTGTGAAAGTTAGCGTATATGGAAAAGTATTTAAAATAGTAAGTAATCATTCCAGGCTCATCCAGGCAGGTCCTGGATGACTTTAATCTTACTGGAATACCAAGGCTGATTCTGCTTGTTATGTTGCCGTCCATTTTTTATACGACATTCAGGTTGGTGTAGTCAACGAGACGTCCTGCCTCGTTTCGGGTTGAAAACTGGCTAAGATTTGATCTGTCAAGCCACTTGAAGAACATTAATAGACCTCGAATGCATTCTTGCAACACTCAGTCTTCTTGATTTAGTGCCAACTTTAAGCTTATGCAGGATCAAGCAATACCGATATCTACCATTTCACGGATTAAGCTGTAGCCCATTTAAATCTGAAATGAGGGAGGACTGCGTCAACTTGAATACCAAAATAAAATAAAACGACCTTAATACAATCGAAATCAGCTGTTGCCTTTTGGTGAGATCGACCTACAAATATTCTCATCATTCACACCCTCATAGCAACAGTACTGCCACTTACAGAGCTTCAACGAAACGCAGTTACTCTGGATAATTTAATCTGCTTCATGTTGGATTATTTTTCCATTCGTATTGAGAGGCAAGCAGGAGCGATTCATAAGTTGGCTTCACCGGAAACTGTAGGAAGATTGCCTTGGAACCGTGACTGTAGTTTTTGGCAAATAGGTCCTCAGCGCACCGCCCTGAG